CTGTGCATGCAAGATGTGCCACCTTTGCTCTTGTTTTCTTGGGGGCTCAGGTCTGCACATGTGCGGAAGCAGCGCGGCCCGCGCCAAGCGGCACGCCCTGAGCCAAGCGACCACACTTTGCCGCTCGGAAGTGAGCACAAGCGCACACACACCCTAGAGCTCACCTGCATCAGGCAGGCGGGAAGCTTGCAGCAGCTTCCCGGCGGCCCCCCGCTGCTGGTTCTTGCTGCCACTCCTGCTGCCCGCCGCTGATCTGTTCGCCCTCTGCCTCTGGAAACTCCCACCAGGCGGCCTGATTGGCGTCGCCGTGACAGCAATTCTGATCAAGTTCAAGGTTGGCCTGCGCCCGATTCTATCGGAAACGGCCGACCTGGAGGCGGCTGTAGGTGGCGCTGGGTTGGGCGTGGACAGCGGCAGCTTGGTGCGGCAGCCGTCGAGCGTCGGGGGGCGCCTGAGGAGCCCATCATCGGCCATGTGCGTTGTGGGGGAGGTGTTGGGGGCGGGCTGAGCGGAGGATTACGTTGGCATCACGCACAGGTTGAACATTCGCAATGAGCCCGCCCCCAGAGCCCGTGTGCATCTGCAGGCACTCAAGCACCTGCACACACCCACCTGCACATATGTACGTATGCCTGCACTTGCACGACCCCAACCCCCGTGCAAACACGAATTTTCACCTGCACCCCGACATACAAACGCATGCACCCACCCACCCACCCACACAAACATGCGAGCGCGCTCGCGCGCGCGCGCACACACACACACACACACACACACGTTGCACATGCTTTCTCTCACGCGTACACATGCATACTCACATGTATATATTGCAGGAGCGCCTTGTCTCAAGAGGGCCTGGACGACTCCATTGTGGACATCACACCCCGCATGGGGTCCATCCCCGCGTTCCCCCTGCCCATGGCGGTCCCCATTTACCAGCGGGACCGCGCCGTGCAGGCTGACGAGGCAGCGATCGACCTGGCCCGGGCCGTCTCCGGCAGCGGCGTGGCCGGCGCAACCCTCTCCGCGTCCGCGGCGGCCGCCCACGCCAAAGCGCTCGGCCCGGGCAAGGCGCCGCCGCCCCTGCCGAAAAGCGCGCTCGGTCAAGAGGCAGAGCCTCGGTCCGAGGGCGGAGGCGGCGGCGGCGAGGTCAGTGGTGCCGCGTGGCTGCTCTCCGCGCTGTCGCACACGCTGCCGCTGACCGGGACGGTGCTGCTGCTCATGCTGACGCGCATCCCGGCCCTCAAGATCAAGGGCGCCCTGCAGTCCCCCACGCCCAAGTTCACCTGGCGGCTGGGCACCCTCGGGGACTTTGGTATCAGCGCCAGCCTGGTGGTCCAGCTGCAGGACGTGCTGAGGGCGGGCGTCTCCTGGAAGTTCGTGAGTGCACACCCAGGGGGGGGGGGCCGAGTGTCGTTGTTTTCAAGGAGCCCAGACGAAATGAGTCTGCGTCATACTGCGTGTCGCTGATACATTCACACCAGACCCTGACTTTCAATTGACCCGATCTCTCCCCACCTTAAACTCCACCCCGCCACACTGGCCTCCACTCCACCTTGCCACGCCATGCCGAAACACCCCTCTATCTCCTTCCCTGCAGGAGTTGCTGTATGTGCCGTTCATACTGCCGTTCTTTGCCATGAGCCTCGTCACCGTCCTGCTGCATCGCCGCAAGATGGCGGCGGCCTGGCACGTGCCATTCAGAGAGGCCGTCAGCCGCGTCAAGGGTGAGCAGAGGGCGGCTCTTGGCGGGTATGAGCAAGGGGCGGCGCATCAACTGGGGTGTGGCGTGCTCGGCTCTCCTGCGATAGGAGATTCTCTGGTAAAGCTGAACTGAGGGAGTGGTTTGCGCCTCTATACAGGGGCGCCTCTATACAGGGGCGCCTCTATACAGCAGGGCTGCGGTCGCTCAGGTGGAGGGCAGGCTGGCCCCCACCTGATTTGGCTGCCCTACTTTCAACCTTGCTCAAACTACAGTGTGCAACCAAAAGAGAGTAGAGAAGCACTCGCCCACCTAGCATGCATGCCCTCCCAAACAGAAAAGACTGCGCAGACGCACAACTATGCCCTCAAACCATCCATTTACACAACGCACACACAACTCACTCACTGCTGCCCAGGCATCATGGTGGCCACCTTTGGGGCACTGGTGTTGGTGCAGCTTATCCGCCAGGGGGGCGCCGACTCACCCGCCTACCAAATCGGGTACCACCTCAGCGGTGCCCTGGCGCAGGTGGGGCCGGCCTTGATTTGCAGCAAGCCTTTGACAGAGCATCCCTTGCTCGTGCATCTGTGAAGCATGCAGGCTGTGCTATTCCCAAGTTGTGCACCCGTCTTGACACAAACGCCGCAGGGCTTCCTGGCCATCTCTGCGCTGCTGGGGGCCATAGGCAGCTTCTTCAGCGGCAGCACAACAGTCAGCAACCTCACTTTTGGGGAGATTCAAGAGGTGCGGCGTCCTACGGGGTGGAGTGCAAGCCAAGAAGGCATATATTCATATGCTGATGTGACATTGTGTGGTTGGCTCCTACAGCGAGCCGCATCAGTGTGTAGTCTGCAGGCATTTGAGTTTCGCCTCCAATGCCTTTTGGAAACTTTGGTTCGCATTTCGGTCAAGCAGTCAGAGCTGTTCTTTGTCTGGCTGGAGCCATCTGAAACGCCTGCAGCCCACCTCTGTTGCGCCGCGCAGGTGGCGGCCGAGAGACTCGGAATGTCAGTCACGGCCTTTTTGGCCGTGCAGGCGGCAGGTTAGTGGCTGGAATAGTCTGACTTGATTTCAGGCAGGGACTCCCTTGGGTTTAGAACCTGGGGTGTTGTCAATTGGAACCGGGGCTCTCAAGGCAGCATGTAGGCGGGCGTGTTGCACTTGTGATATGATCGAGCTGATGCTCCCGCCTTGATTCTAGTGCCCGAGCAGCTCCTGTCCCGTCTAACTGGTTCTGGCTTCCCAGACGCTGCACACAATCCGTACCCGCCACGCTCGTCGCCGTCCTGGCGATCACCCCACTGCACACCGTGCGCTGCACCCCGTACACTGTGCAGGCGCGTCGTCAGGGAACGCGTTCACGATATCCAACATCCTGGCCGCGAAGGCTGTGATGGGCATGCAGGCGCGTGGTGTGTGTGTGTGTGTGTGGGGGGGGGCGTTGGGGAAGAGGACATTGCAGACATGGGGTTGCTTGCGATGCCCGACGTGGCGAACGCATCTTTTGAGCGTATGAAAGTGCCCAAATGCATGTGCGCCCTGCAAATGCGCTGGATCAACTTCTGCTGTGTCCTCGCCCACTGTCGCCCAACGCACCCGCGAAGCACGCGCCCTTGGCTGAGCAAGCAGCTGACGTCACAGCAGAACGGTGCCGCAGGCCCGGCCAGTCGCCCCCAGACGACGCGCCAGCCTGACCCCCGCCCCCCCTCGCACACATATGCACTCGCAGGCGGTGCCAGAGGCGGCGTTCCTCAGGCGCACCCTGCCTGTCGGCATCCTGGCATGCCTGGTCGCCCAGGCCGCGGGCCTCATTTTCACGCTGGGCAACGTGCTACCTGACGCGGCGGAGCCCGTCATCCCCACCTGATGTGATGCATTCGATCAAGTCGGTGGATATTGCAAAAAAGTTATGTCACCTTCCATGCACAGCTGCGCTGCCTCTGCGCGGCCCCTGCTAGACTTCCAGACTTGAGCTTTACAAAGGCGCCTTATTGACCTCAGGGGCCAATTGATCCTGACTTGGATTTGTCGTCTTGATCGTTGAACTGCATTGCCCGCGTCTCCCAATTACCTCCACATGACACTGCATGAGCGTGCCTTGGACTTCATGATCATCCACATGGGAGCGCGTGCATGCACCACCGCACATCTGTATGCAAAAGTGTGCTCTCGTGTCAGACTTTGACCAAAGCTGCATCCTTTTGTTTCGGCGCCGTGCACGAGCTGCCCACCCACAAGCATTGACCATCCAAACTAGAGGTCCATGTCAGTCGAAGTAAATGTTCATGTCAACGCGGATATTCATACTCCTTCCCACACACCCACTGCTTGTTACGGTGCTGTATCATTGTGGAAAACGGATAAGCAACCTCACAGCTCCAGGACACTTGCATCGAGCCCAGCCAGCAGATCCCGCAGCAGCTGCTGCTTCTCCACAAAGGCGTCGTCAGCCAGCGCCGGCACCTTGCGCGCCGCCGCCGCTGCCACGTCCGCGCCGCCCAACCCTGGCAGCCCGACCCACGAGAAGCAGCCGAACAGCTCCTCCGACCGCGGCAGCGGCAGGGGCGGCTGCAGCGTGTACGCGCGGAGCTCGAGCAGCGTGATGGGCTGGGTGCGGCGCCACTTGAGGCGGGTCTCCAAGAACCCCTCTCCCCAGACGTGCAGGGGGTCCAGCGCCTGGCGCGCAAGGGCATGGGTGTGCGTTGCATTCGGTTCTCCTCAGAAGGGCTTGGCGTAGGCGGTCGGCTCACATGGGCGCGGATGTCGCTGAAGGCTGTGGTTTCAAAAGTACAGACACGCAGGACAGCCCACCAGCTTGTGTTCAAATGCCGTCGCTTCAAGGGCGTGTCACCCCTCACCTGCAGCACTCGCTCGTCGTCCGTCACCCAGGCCCCCGTAACCTCCGCGTACTGCGCGATGGGGATGACGTCCAGCTGCTTTGGCTCCAGCAGCATCGCCTCCCTGTACCGCTCCGCGACACCCGGCTTGAGAAGCTGCTGCTCTGCATGGAAGCTGGCGGGGTGGTGGTGGGTAATGAAAGGATCCTTGAAGGTCCGCAGGGAGGGGCGTTGCGCAAGCTGGGTTCACTTTAAGAACTAAGAGTGTAGTGGAAGAGAATGGGCTAGTTGAATCAAGGTGTGCGGGAGTGGGTCAAGGTGCACCCATGCGTGACCCGACCACACCCCACCATGGCGTTGGCCCGCTATCAAAGGTGATAAAAGGCGTAGTACACAGTCTTGGCCCTGGCCCGCTGCTGCGGCGCAGCACTGCACTCTGCAGTGTCTGCTGGGTCTGCCGGCGCCCACCTAGTGGGGAAGATAAAAAAGCTGCGAGCTTCGGGTGTGAAGCGGGGCTCTTTTATCCCTCCTGTGCGCGTGCGCGTGCGTGTGCGCGCGTGTCCGCGCGCGTGTGTGTGTGTGTGTATGTGTGTGTGTGTGTGTGTGTGTGTGTGTGTGTGTGTGTGTGTGTGTGTGTATGTGAAACACGTATATGTGTGAGAAACGCATGAGCGCGCGCGCGCCCGCATGCGTGTGCGTGCGTGCGTGCGCGTGCGTGCGTGCGTGCGTGCATGTGTGTGTGCGTGTGTGTGTGTGTGCACGTGTTCCTCTGTGTGCATGTGTGGCCAAAGATCAGAGACCAACATGTATCTGAAAGCCCCACCTGCAGAAGCGGGGGTCCCATTGCTGCTCATGCATGCCGCGTGCTCTGTCGGGTTGCCGGCTCATACCGCTGGCTTGCTGGCAAGTGACCCAAGCTTAGCGCCGCCACAACATTTGCATACGTCTGACCTGGCCCTGTGCCCACCTTTGCGCAGCAGGATCGTTTGCTCCCCGCTGCCCAGCGCCGCGGCGGTGACTGCCCATTCTTTTAAACAGATGGGCTGGACCTCCGCACTTGTCGCTGCCACCCGTGCACCCCAGGGGACGCGCCCAGAGCTGCGTCGATGCAGCTCTCTGTGCGCTCGCTGCACCATTGCTGCTGTTGAGATGGGCCAGACCGCGAGGTGGCAGCGACCAGATTCTCCTGAAAGTGAAGCGCTGTTTCTCCTTGATGCTCTCATGCTGGCTTCGCTGCACAACACAAATCCCAACGCTGGCTGCGATCTACGCTGCGGTAGCAGGTGCTGCGGTTATTGAATGTATGTAAATGCGTGTGTAGTGCGCATTTTGTGCTGCGCAGCCCCCAGCTTGCTGTGTTTGCTGCCCAGCACGCACTGACAAGTGACATCAGATGTCACCAGGCCGCAGGTTTGCTACGGTGCGCGGCGTCTTCAATGTGCTGTCGTAGCCCAAGTGCAGCCGTAAGCCTCATGAGCTTACATGAATGGCGATGGCTTTGACGTTATTGTCCATCCTGCCGAATCATGTCAGTTGCAGCCCCGCTTACTCCCGGCCCCCCCGCCGCCTGGAATACGGGCGGACGAAGCGGGATACAGCGGCACCAGCAAAGCACGCGCACACCGCACAGAGACGGCCAGCATGCAAGGCAGCTGGCGCCGGTATGGGTTAATGCACCACGCGGGACGAGAGGACGCGCGTGGCGTCTGGGGAACCTTGCTGGCGTTTGGAATTGGACGGCAACAGGCCAGGCGGCGGCCGGCGCGAAGCGTGTCACTCAAGGCAGGGCGAGAACATGGGAAGACGAATCCTGCTTCCGTGAAAGCCCGAAGGCGCGCGATGTTGCGCTGGCCGGAAAAAGCGCGGTGCATGTGGCGCGCGCATCGCTGCTGTCATGGGCTCTAGAAAACTGGGGTGCATGCTCACGCATACGTGTGCTGCAGGGACCGCTGAGTGCAGAGACAAGCACGCTGCGAGGGTCGCGTGGCACCTTGCGGTGCCGTGGGACTTGGGCCAGCGAGGGTTTGGCGAGACATCGCGTGTGGCGCTGCGCAATGCTGGGCGATGTCGCCGGCAGGGCACAAAGGAGGCCGCCGTCGTGAGCATAACGCGATCCTCGACACATCTCAGTTGCGGTGCGGGTGGACGCTGCCCTAGGACGACGCGCGGGCCGCGCCGGCGATGTCCATTGCACGCAGCTCTTCCTGCGCGGCGCGCACGCCCTCCTCTATCGTTCCCAGGCGGCCGGCCTTGTCCGGATGGCAGTGGCAGGGCCGCAGCCCCTGGATGGCCTGCAGCAACTCGCGCCGCGTCTCCCGCATCTGCGCCTGCAGCTGCCGCATCTGCCCGCTGGTTGCAGGCGCGCTCCGCGAGTCACGCGCCGAACCGGTGCTGTTGTCAGAGGCCTACAGTTGCAGGCGCAGTGGGAGCCAGGGGACCAGCCTTGTGGGGGAGGGCGGGGAGCATGCGCTGCACATCGCGCCGCCTGCGGCGAGGGCGCATTGGATTGCAAAGCGCGCTGTTGCTGCACCATACGCGTCATTTAGCGAGCGGCCCGGCGGGCGGCCCAGGGCCTGTGCCTCACCATTATGCCTGGAGTCTGCCGTTGTTGGTTGTTGTCGCCTGCCCGCGACGTGCAACAAGAAAAAACCAGGCACCACGGGGGTGGGGGCAGAGCTACTGTACAGTAGGCTCCACGCTGAAAACCAAAAATAGGCGAATCGGGGTACGGGTGGCCGCGGATTCCGAGGAACTCCCTAGGAACGGCTACCGTATACGGGGATGCGTGGTGGTCTGGTACGCCCTCCTGTTTGTTGCGCTTGAGTTTGGGGCGATGCAAGTCAAACCACGGGTGCCACTTGCAGTGAGTGCCAAAACAGCTGAACAGTCATCGAGGCCAAAAACGCTGTGAAACCACCCTGAATTCCCTGGACATCATGCAACCGATGCCTGTGCATTGTCCGCGCCCTTGGACGCCCGGTGCCTGGGCACCGGGCCCGCCGCCTGCTGCCCGCTGCAGTTTGACCGCCGCCGCCGACGCCGTCCATGTCCGTGTTTAACAAGATCTTGCACAGCATGTAGTATTACAGTAGCGTTCGAGTGGTGCAGGTAACCCCATCTGCATGCCAGGTGTTGTGGTTGTGGTTGTGCATTGTTCTGCTTGCTGCTGAAAAGCTGGCAAGCATGAGCAACTTGGAGAGGGCTGTACAGACGCGACTGGGTTGGCCCATTCACTGCGTGCTGGAACACGCACAGGATGTTGAGGCGTACGAGGCAGGCTGGCAAATGCGCATACCTGAGACAAAGGCGAGGAGGGAACGGCTCCGCGACGCCGGCCTGAGTGACGCTGAACGGCGAGGCCCAGCAAGGCAACGCGTGTGCCCTGACCCCAGCACGCACGCCGTAAAACAATACCACAGGCGGCAACATCCGCCTTGTCAAGCTACCGTTCCCAAAAGCGACAATGAGCACTGCCACCACAAACACCTCGTGAAAAGAGACACATGCGTTGCATTGATGACGGCTCAACATGCTTCCAGAGTTACACCCAGCCACATTACCTAACACCCACGAAAACAGCGGATGCGCCAGCATCATGCCGCCTGCGTGCCCTGCGGCGGCGGCAGCAGCCCGTCGCCGACGCCAATGACCGACGCCAGCCACCCGGGGTGCGAAGACAGGAACAGCCCCACCCGCCACATCGCCACGGAAGCCGCAAACCCCAGCACCCACAGCGCCCGGGCGTCCTTAACTTGGTATGCAAGCTCCCATGCCTTCTCGCTTGCGTACAGGAAGAGGAATGTAGTGCCGCTGGCCTGCAAGGAGGGCATGCCCAGGAGCGCGCCGGCCGCCATGAAGGCAGCCAAGATGGCGGCGTAGGCCGCGTTGACGCACACGAACTCGGCCATGCGCAGGGACGAGCCTGGGGGTACAAAGGGCAGGCAGAGGGCGGCACGGTGCGCACCGGGCTGGGCCGCCAGCACTGGGTTGCACAATGTGGCTGCAGCGCTTGCAGGCAAGGCATATTATGTGTCGCTGAAAAGCTGGTGCAGGCCACCAAGACGACAGGAAGCCTTGCGGCTGGCTGCTGTGTCGACATGCACAGCATAACGCGCAACCGACAGCTGCTGCCCAACTGCATAGTGCAGGGCAGCAACGCAAGGGGGCGGTTGGTGCGTGGCCTTCGCCCACCTCTGGTGGCAGATAGGGCGAAGACCGATGACCGGATGAGCCCGGCCAACAGCAGGCACACGCTGCCAAACACGCTCACGCCAAGCCGGAACGGCAGCAGCCACGGCGGCGTCAGGCCGGCCGCCCGCAGCGCCATGACCGGCGCCAGGAGCGCCGCAGCGGCGGCCGCCGAGTTGAGCATGGCGTCGTCATTTTGCCAGCCGATGAACCAGCCCAGGCCAAAGGGCACCACTGCCGCTCACGGGCGCGCGTGAGCATGGCAAAGCGGTGCTGCTATGCTCGACGTGTGTGTCTCAGGTCCCGCTTGCATCGCAACGGCATATGCGGAAGGATTCTGAAGGACCGACGGGCAGTTTCCCTGGACCCGCATGACCCTGTGCAGGCGTGCAAGCGCATGCACACCTGGCAAGGCGCCTTACCCGTGGCACCTCACCTTGGAAGCCGAGCGCCGAAAACGCCGCCGCCGCCGACAGCAGCCCCAGCAGTTGGGAGCCGTGGCGCGCCGCCGACGCGCCCATCACGACCGCGGCACCCGCGTTCCATAAGAACGTTGCGGCGACGTTCGAGAGCCGGCGGCCGCCGCCCCGCCCGCG